TTTCTCTCTCTAATTCTTTTTAATATTTATCTCTTCTTTCTCTCTCTAATTTTGTTTCTCTTTTTTCTCTCTCTAAATCTTTTCTCTCTTTAACTCTCTTTCTCTCTCTACTTCATCGACTCAACAAACGCAACTCTAATACGATACAAATCTGACTGCCTTTAATTTTCATAGGAGATAAAGTTGAAGGGAGTTTTTATAGGGGACTGTATGATGCGCACAAATTGTAATACAAATCTCTTTGGAGAGAGAAAAAGAGATAGTGGGAGAAGAAAAGAAAAAAAAAAAAAGAATTAAAGAGAGAAAGAAGAGATAAATATTAAAAAAAATTAGAGAAATATTAAAAAGAATTAGAGAAATAAAGAAGAGATAAACATAATTAGATAGATGAAAGAGATAAAGATAAACAGAAAGAGAAAAGGGTTTATGCCATTTGGAGTGCCGTATAATATAGGTTAGTTTTTAGGGTACTTAAAATGCAGTATAACATGGGTGGACTTACCGTACTTAAAATGCTGTATATCATGGGTTTGGGTTTAAGTACGGTTTGGGTTTACGGTACTTAAAATGTCGAGGTTTATAACAGTTGAGGGTTTTTTTTTTAAATAGACTAAAATTAAGGTATATTTATGATAATGTTCCTTTTTATATTAATAAAAAATCCTTTTATGCCTTATTTTTTAAAAAATACATCCGATATACCATTATATTTAGAACATAAATGTTATTTTACCCTCGTATCCTATCCATTGTATTGGCTAATACCTTTATATAGCATAATAGCCCAATATTGTCATGCTCGCTTTTTCTTCGATTTGGTAAGAAAAATGAAGCTACTCAGTGCTTCGGCTAATTTGGGGGAAGTGTGTATTTTTTTTCTTCATGTCCAAAAAGTTGCTTTTTTATTTTATTTTTGTACTTTTTTTAGAGGGTGAGGTTTGTATAAGGTGTCAAACTTAAACAATCATGGTAATGTGCACCTCAAAATCTTATTGAAAGATGTATTTTTGGTGCCAAAACTCTTATCATGGCCTAAAAGCCAATTTTTCACTTCTATAATAAAATTAAAAGCTCCGAAAATGATGCAAATCTAGCAAATCTATGAGCACTTGAAAATCTTGAAAATTAACGGTCTAGATAATGTTTTATAAGATGATCAATTATATTGATGTCAAGATGATCAATTAGAGAATTTTTTAATTACAAAACAACTTAGGTCAATGGATTTTTGAAGTGCACCTTACTTCTACATAATAAGATTGACAACTTATATAAACTTTTTCCTTTATTAAATTAAAAAGCTCTAAGAGAAAAAAAAAGAAGTTGGACAATTGAGGTTTGAAAAGATGGTAACTTATATACATCATATTAGAAGGGATGAAATATAATACCATAGTGCTTTACTTGTTCCAACCCAAGAAAAGAAAAATGCTAGTTTTCCAGAAATTAAGAAAACATGCAAAGCTCTTTGGGTCAATTTTTTCAGGGAAAAGTTTATATAAGGTTGCAACCTTAAAATGTAGAATCACGAATGCAGCTAAAAAATCTATTGGAAATGTCGTTTTATTGTTGAATAAACGCTCTAATTGATCATCTCGACATTGAGATGTATGAATATAAAAAAAAAAAAAAAGGTTTTTGAGTCCGAAAATAGTGCATCTTGCAACACATTATCTAGACCGTCTATTTTCAAGATTTTCATATATTTATAGATCTACTTGATTTTAACCATTTTTGGAATTTAAAATTTTCTAATTAGATATGAAAATAGATTTTAAGATAAGAGTATTGATCCTATGAGACCCTCCCACACCCATGTGTGTAGGACCTCAAATAATCACCATTAAATATGGCACAGATATCTAGAAAAGTCAAATCCTACACCCATGTGATAACTTTTCTAGAGAACTGTACCATATTTAATGGTGATCTTTTGGAGTCCTACACACATGGGTATAGGAAGGTCTCATAAGATCATTACTCTTAAAATAATGCTAAAAAATTTTTATAACAAAATTACATATTATGATAAAATTAGATTGTTTAAAGTTGCATCCTTATAGAAACCGCACTCATTTTTTATTGTTTAGTTGCGTATTATGTAAGTTTAATAGAAAAAATTTACCATGAACATATGCTATTAATTGAAACCAGTGATGCAGTGCGGTAGAAAAACTATTGCTTGGGGCAAGAAATACACCCATACATTCACACCTTTTGTGATAATAATATAGGTTTAAGTAAAGGAAGAAGTTAATATAAAGCTGAGGCTCTAAATAATCAAATTAAGGCATACCTCAAAAGTTTATTAGAAGAGGTTGTTTGGATATTGAAAAACTTTCAAATCGATCGTTTCAACCTCAAGATATATAGACATAAAGAAAAAAAGATTCGAGTCCAAAAAATAGTGCATCTTCTAATACATTATCCAAACTTTCAATTTTCAATATTTTCAAGTGCTTATCCAAGCTGTCAATTTTCAATATTTTCAAGTGCTTATAAATTTACTTGATCTATGGTATTTTTTAAGCTGTGAATTTTATAATTAGAGATAAACATAAATTTTCAGGTCATCACAACGATTTTTCTACTAAAGAAGCATTTTTTGATACTATTTAGAGAAAAATTTAGAGCAAAATACATTTTTTTAATAAAAATATAAATTAATTGACATAGAACTCTGACATGTCGTAATTTTCAAGAAACTCCTTTCGAGCATTAATTGCTAGGGAGATTTTGTTGGATTTGGTGTCCACCCCTTCCGGGTGTAAGGACCTCAATAGCAATTCTGATATTTCAAGGTAAATATGTTAAATTACTTATTAAAGATTAATAATTTAACACTTTACCCATATTTTTTTATTTAATTTCAAAAGACCTATAAAATAACATATGATCTTGAGTTGGAAAGGTTCTAACAAGGTAAATTGTTAAATAATCCATCTCTTGTAGGTATTTTGATAAATATCCCTGTATAAATAGTTAATAAAGGGAATGACATCTATGGTACCACTGGATTTGTTCAATATAGGGAAAAAAGAAAAGAAATTTGTGATAAAGGTTTCAAATTGGCTAGCTGAAATATTATCAAAATATGAAAATCGGGTAAACTAGAGAGAGAAAAAGTTATTCCTTTTATTAGTAAATTGGCACTCAACTGTGTATCAAAAAAGAGCTTCTCTCGCTACAAAAGCTCCCTCTCTTACCTCTACATAGTTTCTCTCTCTGAAAAACCTAAAAAAAAACTCTTACTTAAGGTTGTATGTATCGAACTCTCAACTTGAACGAAAATCACATTTGAAAAAAGTATATAATTTCTACCCGATAGCTACATTGGGATACACTTGGTGAATTCAATAGTTTTACTCTACAATTTTTTATTTATTTTTGGTCATTTAGCGGGAAAGACACGTCCTACCTGTATTTTTATATAGATTAAGGGGTTAGTTTTTTTTAAAGTGTCAATGGGTGATGTCAATAGGGATGAAAACCACAATGAGATAACTAAACATAGATGTGCTACCACCACGACCTAGCCCCTTTCGTACCTTACAACTACTGATAATCAATATTTACAACTTGTAGGAATGAATAAAAATCATGTTTACTATAGATTTCAAAGCGACTAATGTAATATTCCCCGATTATGGGCACCCCCAACAGGGTGCTGAGCCAATTAACTTGGCCAAGTCCAGGAGAACTTGTTTAAATTTTAAGTTCTTTATAAAATAACCCAAAAATTTCAAATTGTCAAAATGAGTTCTCGGAGCCCAATTTGGCTCAGACCGAGTTGGGCCCTAGCCCAACCTAGCCCGGCCTTGGCTTTGTCAAGGGCAAACTGGGCCAAAAACAATACAAATAATAATAATAATAATAATAATTATCATTATTATTATTATTATTATTAAAGTCCAATAAAATAAACTTAAGAAAGAAAGGGTTGGGCCTGGAAGAATTGGACCAACCGTGGCCAAGGCCTAGCCTGCCCCTTCCCTTGGGCCACATCTTGTGGCCAAGGCCCTAGAATTTTAGGGCCGGGCTACACGGCCCATTGCCACGCCTAATTTTACAAATTAAATTACATATTTGTCTTAGGTGTCTAAAGAAATTATTGTATTATTGTCAGGTTTGAAACAACGAATAAAAGAAAAGCTTACCTGTGTTTGCAAAGGCAATTGGCAAAATTGTCCAAAATATGAAAAACAAGTCAAAGCCTTTCTCCATAATTCAAAATTGTTTGAGAAATTTTGTTGACATTGGCTGGTGATGCGGTGCTGTTGCTAAGTTCTGGCCCATTCACTGTCCATCTTAATATGGACTTTCAAGAAATAAAAGAGGGCACCAAAATGAACTGTGCAAAAAAAAAAAATCTTAAAAAAATCCTTTTAAGGTTTAAAATTCTATTTTATTTTTTCATATTCAAGAACCACACCTTAGATCAGTAATCTCTTAAAAAAAATTAGATCTAAAATCCATCTTTGAGATAAATTTTAAAGTGTTTAGAAACCCAACTAGTTTGTCTCCTGCTCTTTTTATACTCGGGTGAGGTTTGTATAAAGTGCCCACCTTTTACTATACAAGGTTCATCTTTAAATTTTACAGGAAGAAGTAGTTCCAGTGTCGAAAACTTATGATGGCTTAAAATTAATGTTCAACACTTTCTATGAAATTTAAAATTTTTTAAAAATTGCAGATCTAGCACATCTATAAACACCTGAAAATATTGAAAATAGCTTATCCAAATAACTTGTCACAAGATACACTATGTTTAGGACTTGAAATTATTTTTCCTTTATATCCATATATCTCGATGTCAAGATTATTAATTAGAAGGCCTTCTAACTGCGAAACACTATTTCATTGAATTTTTGAGATGCACCTTACTTCTACAGTATAAGTTGCTAACTCGACTAGTTTGCATAGTCACTCAACTAGTTTGTCTTCTGCTCTCTCTGATTGGGACTTGTATGGTCAAGACTCAAGAGCAAACCCACAAAATCACAAACATTGGCCAAATTTGTTCAAGAGTTCCAAGTTTCAAAATTATACAACCAAACAATTGAGTTTGTACATTTCTCCCTTAATGTCCTTGGAAAGCTCCAAGTAAACAAATAAAACAACCAACAATGTCTCACAAATCATTAGAAAGCAACACACACTAACATACAATCTGATATCCACAGTTAAAGATCTCAAACTTACATGTTAATGGTGGCCCAGGGAGAGAAGACCGAGCACCATAGTGACCAAACACAAGGCCACACTAATGGTAGCACCAGTTGGCACACCACTAGGCGAAGGGGTGGCGGTTGGGGCTGGGCTTTGCGTGTTCTTAGATGCATCAGCAAGCGATGGCAATGGTGGCTCCTCCACATCGGCTACAGTCAAGACCGGGGCTGGCGCCTCAGCTGGCGGCAAGGCATCCTCGTTAACTAAACCCAGTAGAGCACCTGCTTCAACTGGAAGTATGGTATATGCTGCATCTTCATTTTGACTGAAACATGGACTCCCTACATGGATTTACAAATGAAGGTCATATCGGGGTTAAAACATACGAGAAGTTAGCCTTTGAGGCGGGAAAATGGCAAGAAATCAAGAACAGGGGGTTGCCAATGGCACCCTTGCTTTCACTAGCCAGCATAAAGTTTCAGTAAGAACCTGAAATTTTTTTTTGGGTGCGAGTAGCAATTTTGTTGTGAATGATATTGAAAGTTTCAAGGGAAATTTATCAAAATATCCATGAGATATGAACTATTTAACATTTTACTCTTATAGTTTGATTTAATTTCAAAGTACCTATTAAAAGATACATGATTATGAGTTGGAATAGTTACAAATATATAAATGTCAAGTATTACAGTTCTTATAGGTAGTTTGACAAATTTCCCAAGTTTGAACTACCTTCGACTTCAAATAACTGAAAAGCTAGAGTCCGTATCGAGAAATGGTCGAAGTTGTCTATTAGCTTCACATTCGAGGTAGACATAATGGTTGGGTAAGGGAGGTCAAAAGTTTGAACCTTTCAAAAAGCCTAAGGGATCTAACCTAGTCTTCTTTGCTTAAAAAAAAAAAGAAAAAAGAAATGCCATTTTTTTTTGTTTGAAAGGGAAAGTGTACTGTAGCAAAACTGTTCTATCGCTAGTGAAGTATGGTATATGTTATTCTAAGGTCGAATCCACCACTCATTCTTTATGGTACATGGTTGAGAGTTGAAACTAATTGTGTCCCCATATGCCCCACTCTTGTTCATCAAAGACCTGTGTCATTCTGGGCCTACTGTGGATGCCCTTGGAGTGCCATACACCACACCCCATAGTGAAAATGGCAGACCTTCCCTTCCCCTAGTACTCTCACCCCATTGTGAAAATGGCAGACCTTTCCTTCCCCTAGTACTCTCTCTTTCTCTCTCTCTCTCTCTCTCTCTCTCTCATTCCCATTACATAATTCTCTCTCACTCTCATTCCCAAAACATAATTCTTCAGCCATAAAAGTGTAGTGGTATTCTTACCCATATATGCGCTTGCAGTTGCAGGGTATTCAGTTACAATCCCATCAACTCCAACTGCTTTGACATACGTATTGATCTCCATGGTTGGATCCGCGAAGAAGTCGAATGCAATCGTAACAAACTCATTCCTTAGAACCGAAATAAAAACAGAGATGTTTGCAGAATGCATCTTATCTACCACATCGGTTAAGCTCACCAAAAATGACCCTGAATTTGTCATTATAGAGGCTCTAGGAAGGTTCACTGCATCAGAAAATTGCTTGATCTCTTCAACTGTGAGTTTATTAGCATCACTAATTATCTCATCAATCAAGTAAACTCTCTTATAGCTTGGTGCCACTTTCTTAATCTTAGAGAGCACTGCACTATCTCCAGATTGGATCATTACTTGAGGAGAATTCTCTTTATCATAGCTTGCATTGCGTAAAGTGTCGAGGACCGAGTCGGTTATGCTGAGGCCCTTCTTTGATGCCAGGTAAAATGCATTCTGAAGAGCAACAAGAAAAATGGAGAGCATGGATTATGGTTAAGAATTGGAAAAAGAAGCAGAGAAAAACCGTCAATGAAGGAACATGTAGTTTGGGTTGGCCTCTTGGTATATAGTAGTGAGGGGGTAAGCCCTACAGAGTTCAAATAATACTCAACCATGCAAAAATAAATAAATAAAAGAAGGATTTGGTTTGATGACTTGGAAATTGAACTCTTAGTTTGATCTTTCTTTTCTTGCAGTAACAAATGCTGGAACAAGGAGGAGGACAGCCAAGATAAGGCACGAGGTTATAAGAAATCCGGACCATTAACTCCATCCATTATCTTCTTTACTAAAATCACCAGATTAAATTTAGATGCATGGAGAAATTTATATATGTACCTCTACATTGATCAAAACCCCAGTAACATTCATATCCTTTGCAAGAACCAAGAAATCATGGAGTGCCATAAATTTCCCTTCATTTTTGACTGCTGGGTTTCGTGGCATGGCTGCAGGTCCCAAGGGGCTGTTTAGTACAGCTGCAATACCCATTTACTTCAAAATCAGTAATAACTCTTACATGTAACTTCAAACAAAGAGTTAGCCATGGCTATAGACATCATTGTTATCATATTATAATAACCTCAAAGACTTATGAACAATAATTCACTTGTAACGCTCTTTTAACACACTGTTAAGACTTTTTTACTGAACCAAAGGAACTACATGGCCAACCACTAATTATTCATAAGATGGCATATTACCATGAACTATGAAGACATGCCAACTGAGAATATGCATCACATAAAAGTCACAAGCATAAGTTGAAGACTACATATACAATACTACCTAAATGCATACAAATTAGAATTGTGCAAAAACACGGAAACTGGACTTGTTCAAGAACATCATGAAAAGCATCCATCCAAGAAGAAGGTACAGCTAGTCCAGATTCACAATGAAAAAGGATGGTGAACTAGGAATTAGAAACATGGGTTTTTCCTATATACTTTATGATTGCTCTACAGAAAGGGCACGTATAAGCATTCAAGAAAGAGTTATCTAGCATAGAAAATAGAAATCTTAGGAAGCATGGAGTATCTTAAATTCAGGTAGTATGCCATGGAGTTTTTATTTATTCGACAAATATAGACATTAGTTGGCTTTCGTGCAACATCAACACTACTCCAATTTGATCAATCTGATGGATTTGTTTTTTGGTTATGAAATATAAATTTGTTTTCATTTGAAAGACTAAAATATATACTAGGATCATAATTTTGCAACCATAATTAAAATATCCATTATATACTTACGCTTCAAGGTCTGAATCTCTTCCCAAGTAAGATCGAAAGAGAAAATTCCACTATTCTCTTGAATTTCCTGGATTACAATAGCACGGGACATAAATGAAGGCATTGCTGTTGTGTCTCCAGTAAGATCTGCAATGGTCATGCATATGGGGAACCCATCTTTGGTCATTTGAACAGAACAATCAATAATATCAGCCCCATCCTTCACTGCTTGCTTGTAAGCCAAGTCAGTGCAACCAGCATAAACACCACTTGCCCCATTGTGTGTGATAATCAAAGGTTTCTCTGCAAAATGATAGAACAGTTAGGCATGAACATAAATGTATTTCTCTAATCCAAAATGGAAAACATAAGGAGAAGTGAGACCGCAACACGGTGCTCCAAAGGGCATCCACTATCTGTTCTTGATGTCCAAGACTGGACAATAACCACGGCGGATACTCATTTGGAGCAAAGTAAACCCTCTCCACTGGGTTATGGGGTACTTTTTTCCATATGTCAATTTAAGAACAAAGGGTAGAGATGGAATGGACACAATAACTTACCAAGGGCAGAAGGAGTAGCACTCTTTTCACTACGTGCCAAGCAACCTAGAATCACAAAATAAAGGCTCATAAGACATGGTCTAGGTTTCAAATCAATGTGATATATGGTCCTAAAATATCTTCCATGTAAACTTCCTAAACAATTCTACATAAATATGAAAAATGGAAGGGATAATTATAGGCTAAGGAAACAAGAGGCGATATGGATCAACCATGAGAATTCATGAATTCAAACCTATCAGCTAATTCAAATTGGACTATGGTTTTTAAACTCTAAGAAGTGTATTATCTTCTTTATTGACATCCCTAGTTTAACGTAACATGATCAATTCCCCCACATAGATTCATGTGTTTTTCACAGTGAAGTCGACAATAAATTAAAAGGAAAGCATACCCATTTGTTACTCCGACATTACTTTAAAGATTCACATTAGTGGAGTAAAATTTTCATTATTTAACTGGCAAAAAAAGTATAATTTCATCTAGCAATGAATTCATAAAGAGAGGAAAAAAGAGTCTCTCACCTACTGCCTCTGACGCAGTCGAAGGAAAGTCAGTAAGCACCCCATCAACAGAGAAGTCAGACTTATCAATGAACTGCAAATACTCAGCTACAGGATCATAACTATAGTTGTAACTTGCTGGGAAATCATTTGCAAAACCGGATGCATAAACTTCTAATCCTACTTTATGAGCATCCTTAACAAGAGTAGTAGGAGATTTAAGATATAAATCTGAATTCACAGCCCAAATGTAATTCTTGGGAACAAGAACTCCAGATGCAAATGCCTTGATAGATGATAAATTTTCAAGTAAAGAAGCATATGTCTTCTTAGTTGAAGGTTCAATGTCCTCTGGTTTTAAGAATTGGAAGATGAGTTTGGTTTTTCCTCCTTTGAGCTTGCCATTGATATTCTTCAAAAGACCGACTTCTGGTGAAGAGACAAACTCCAGAATAGAGGTTTTCGAGAGAGAGATCACATATGATGCCATGTCCAGCTTGTTCTGTGTATAGAATGTATCATACTGCAATGCATTTTAAAATAAAAATCAGTAGAAATTAATATAAAAACGACTTATAGGCTTGAAAAGTGAATAAAAATCAATCCAAGTCAAGTCATTTGCCCAAGTTGGTCGATGAGAGAGATAGGTTCCTAGCTATTTTTACATTTTTTGAACACTCAAAGAACATTTCTTCCCTTTTCTGAAATTTTGAATTTTTTCTTTTGAAATGAATCACTCTTTAAGCTACACATCAATTAAAACTTGTCTCCAAATCTGACTCATAAAAGACTTACAAATTGAATATATAGGCATATGTATAACCACTAACAATATGGACCTTACTCGACCACTGTTAACACATTCAGAAATCATCAAGAAAGTTAGAGAAGTAATTATAAATGAATCAAAGATTTTGAAACGTGTATCATTGTTGGATACAGTGGCCCAAAGAATCCATTGAATAAAATATGTAACTAGAATTAACTAGTAAACATCAATAGATCCCACAAAACATATAATATGAAATTCAATTACACTGAATTCTAGGTACCTGAACACTGAGCCAAAACCGAGGTGGTGGACGCATACGTTGAACATCCTCAACTGCAGCTATTGGCAAGACATTGTCGAATATACTCGGACGTGAAAATATATTTTGAATCACTGTGCAAGACATGAAAGCTGGTCTGAGTCTCACGAGTTTATGATTTTTCATATAGGCCATCTCCTCTTTAATCTCTTACCTCATAACATATTGCATCGAGTATGACTTAAAACTAATGTACTTAAAAATAAAACTCATAAATAAATATGTTAAAGATTCAAACTTACAGGTGACTTTGTTGAAGAGTTGCCTTTCCAAAAAGTCGATTGCGAACCATCCTTGAAGCGGCTTACCATTAACAATGTAAGTTTTTTTATTATGGGGATAAACATCGGCAATGTTTGTCGAGTTATCGAGCCTAAGGTCTGATCGGCAAATGCCTCTGCCATCCTTTGTGAGTTGCAATTCACATAGTAATACCACATTACTGAGGCTAACCGATAATGCAAAACTGTTGGCGAAATCGCTTGATTCAGGAAAAAGGCCCGAAAATCCACCCCGTGCTATGACTTCTGGTGCGTTGCCTGAACAAAGAAATCAATAATAAATTGATGAGTTTTACATCTTCTTTTTCCATATTTGACGTGCTTGTATAGATTTTGTTCTTTTTTTTTGTTTTTTTTTTTAATTGATGTGCTCTCTAGCTCTTTTTTTTCTTACTTTTCCTGAAATTGTTTGGTTAATTGATGTGTTTTATATATTTCCCTTCATTCTGGATTGATGGATTCTATAACTTTTCCTTTTTTGCTTAAAACAGAGATTTTGTACCAGTTCTTTTTTCTTTCTTCTTCCTTTTGATTTAGAGTGTGTGTGTGCCTTCTGGCAATAATCTCGCAGAAATTTTTTTATAATAATAATAATAATAAGGCAAAGAAAATGTTTATATTTAGATTGAAGAGAAGAGAGAGGGACCGCTTAGAGTCGCCCATTTCGATGAAGATTTCTGCCCAGACAATGAGCTGAACCAGCACCCTTGCAGAAGAAACAGAATCAACAACACATTTTGCCCCATTTTTCTCTCTGCAAAATTCCAAATCTTTCCATCACTTATTTAAAAAAACCCACGAAACAAGCAAAAAAAATATAACCCATAATTAAAAACAGCACAAAAAAAACGAGAGTAGACTTTACAAATTCAATCTTCTCTCTGAATCCTTAAAATCCTCAAAACAGAGAAAAAAAATCAAAGAAAAAAAAGTCCCTTCCCACCTAGAAACCAAGAAAAAGCCTGGAATCCTTTATTCACCTTAATTGCAAGGAATTAAACAGTTAATAAAATGAGCTAATTTTCATCACCAGAAGCCGTTGAAGCTTCCGGTTCAAAACCAGGGCTGTTATGAACCTGCGAGTCTTAAACACGTCCCGCCTTCGTAACGGTTGGGGTGGGACCCACATGTGCCAGATGAGCAACTCCAGTCGTACACGTGGTACAATATGGATTTTTATCTATGTGCCTAGAGTGTGGGACCCATTTTAACCGATCCACTCTAATGAGTGGGCCATGGTGATTTGAGCTCCTGTTTTTAAGAGGACTAATTATGGATTAATAACTGAAAAAACCTTTTAACCCATGCATGGTTAAAAAAAACACCAAATATGATATTGGAACAAATATGAAAATCACTTAGCTCATAAAGATTAGTTGCACAAAGCCTTAAATGAAGGAGTTCCAAACAAATGTTTCCGGCTTTTGCAGATGAATTTGTTGACCGGAACATAATCGCTTGCATCTCTTTCAACAATTTATTTAAGAGAATTTCCCTGAGAAAAGGAAAAATTACAAAAACTCCTTTGGACTTCCAATGCAAGTTATCCTCAATCAATCTATTTTTTTCGCTTTTTATCCAAAAGATACTTTTTTAGCAAATACCCCCAATAAAAAAAAATTTACATTTTATTAACAAAAATACCCTTTTTCTTATATAAAAAATTAATTTTAATCTAATATTCACACAAGCTTACAGACAGTACCAAAAGCTACATTAGTTTCTGAACCCCATTAAACTAAAAAAAGTTTCGGACTACCTTCATTATCTATCAAATCGCACATAGATCTGTCCGACCCCGAATATGTAGATTGTTGGACCGCATATATATAAGTGTTTGACCGCCATATAGATCCGTCGGACCGCATGCCAGACCGCTATAGAGATCTGCCAGACCGCATTTTGTCCAAAAAAAAAAGTGTCGGACCGCATGTTTGTCCAAAAGGAATAGTGTCAGACTGCTACATATATCTGCCGGACTGCACTTTTGTAGAGGCGTGAGTAAATGTCAATGAATGGTAGTTTCGTCTTTCTTTTTTTTTGGTTGGGGGTATTTATTAGGAAAGTATATTTTGGGGTAAAAAGTAGGAAACAAAGATTGGTTGGAGGTAAGTTGCAGTCTATGTTTTGGAGGTTATTTGTAATTTTTCCTAAAAAAATGAATTTATTCAAGAGAGAGCATGAAGTAACGGGGTTCTTATGAAGAAGGGTAATGGTTGAAGCCTTCATCGGTCCGGTCAATTTGGGAAAAAACATTTGGATTTTCTAAAAAAGTTTAATATAAATAAAATGTATATTTATATATAAGAATATATATAAATAATAATAATAATAATAAATAAATAAATAATGGCCGTAGCGATTGCACCAAGTTTCACTTGGCTTTAGGCAGAAAATCCAAAGACTTCAACCTCCTCAGCGGAAGTAGAGCTAACATGATAACATTGATAAGAAGCTCTTGGCTCCTATATTTCAGCAACCAATTACATGCTCGACTGGCTCTCTAGGTTCTTTATCCCAAACCACACCACTAATTTTAACATTCTCTATATAAGAACTCCCATAAACCCTAATTGAGTGCTCAATCTGAAAATCAAGCGCCCAAACCACTCAAAAACCATGAGAAGGTTTTTGAATCGTCAATCTAATAAGGTCCTCTGAATGCATGGTCATCCAGCCTTAAAAAAAAAAAAAAGGGAAAAAAAAAGAAAAAAGAAAAGAAGTTTACTAAAATTTAATCAAAATGCTGTTTTTTAGGTTTTCAAAAAACTAGTAGCATTGTATTATGATTTTTAGTATTTTACCAAAAAAACGTAATTACTAAAAATCTACCTAACATCCAAGTGTTTAGTGTTCATTACATTAATTTTCAAGTCAAATATGACGTTTAGAATAAAACTTGTTGCAATAAAATAGATCTCTCTAACGACTTCCCCACTCATTTCAAATTTTCCCTTTTCATTTGAATTAATTGAATTATTTATTTATTTTTAGCATTTTGTTAATATGTTATCTCTTTAGAAATGTCGTATTTAATTTATCTCTAGAGTTAACCATAATTGTGTGGCTAATTGAGAGAGACGAGAGAGGGTGGGGATAATAATAATAATAATAATAATAATAATACTAATAATAATAATAATAATAATAATAACCCAATCCAAAAGAGAATGAAAAAAACAAAAAAAAAACCATCAAAAAGAGAGAGTGAAAATAGAAAAACTAAATCCAATACTCAAGAAAGAAAGGAAGAGATCGTGAGAGTAGAAAAAGAAATCACCAAGAGAGAAAAAAAACCTAATCCAAGAGAGAGAAAGCCAATCCAATTTTCATAACCAACACTTTTACACAAAAAAGAAAGAAAGAAAATGTTAAAAAATAATAAAATATATTTATTAGAGATAGCAATTATAATGGATAACATACATTTGTACGCGCCTATAATTGTTTTTGATATTATGATGGTCTTTTTCCAAAAGGAATTTGTTTCTGTATGGGTGGAATACATGGTATATGCAAACTTGAGACACAGCTGGCTTGGTAGTTATGAAGTGTTTTTATTAGTCCTACGCTGGGAGGACATAGAAACATTTCCCTAAATTGAATGGGATGGGGATTGAAGCTTATAAATAAGGTTTCGGGGGCATTGGTTGACTGCTGCAGAACTGCATGGAGAGGGGTGGACCACCTCCTTAAAAAAAAAAAGAAAAATTTTAGGGAAAATTACAAAAAAACTTTCAAGACTAGATTTTTTATGCAATTTATCCAAACCTAATTTATTCTCACTTTTTTCCCCAAAACGCATTTTCTATGCAAATACCCAAGGAAAAAAGTTCATTTTTTTTTTTTTTATGGAAATGCCTTCTCGTACAAAAAAATCAATTGGGCCAAATTTGACGTTGACTATCGGAAACCAGTAGCACATTGCTAGAACAGACGATCTCATTGCCGGACCAAAATTGAATATTGCCTGACCGCCCTTTACAACTGTCGGAGCCCAGTGCCTCAGAAGTTCTACTGTCGGAACTCCCTTGAAACTGCCAGAGCGCTGTGACTACAGGATATGTATTGCCGAACCACCTTTAGAAACTGCCAAAGCATTGTGACTCCAAGACATGTACTACCAGACTGCGTTTTGCAACTGCCGGAGAGTTGTGACTCCAAAACATGTACTGCCATAGCAATGTGACTCTAGAACATGTACTGCCGGACAGGCCTTTGTAACTGCCGAAGCGCCCAGAACATGTACTGCCGGACTGCGCTTTGCAACCGCTGTAGCGCAGTAACTCCAGAACATGTACTGTCGGACTGCCCTTTACAATTACTGGAGCACCCAAAACATGTACTTCTAGACGGCGCTTTGCAACTGCCGAAGCGTTGTGACTCCAAAACATGTAGTGTCGGACCGCGCTTTACAACTGCTGGAGCACAATGACTCCAGAACATGTACTACTAGACGGCTCTTTGCAACTGCCGAAGCACCTAGAACATGTACTGCCAGACTGTGCTTTGCAACTGCTGAAGCGATGTGACTCCAGGACATGTACTACCAGACCATATACAGCCAGACCATTTATCTTTGATGTAAGGATGTCACAATTACTTATAATCATTTGATAGCTTGGATGTGTCATAAAATTCGAGAAAATTTCTTTTAATTTTTTAGCTTGATCAATACAATAAATGTAGCCACTCAATTTCACATCTAATGGCCAAGATTAATTGTGACCACTTTGTACCAAAGATAAATAGTCTCATTATATACGTTTTCAATATTTATTACATACGCAAGAAAGAGTGGAATGGAAGCCAGTTTTGTTAGGAGAGGGCAAGGAGAGAGAGAGAGAGAGAGAAAAAAAAAGAAGAGAGAGAATACATTGATGAATTAGGATTACCAAGGACAAGGAAAGCGAGTGAGGGTGGCATGAGAGAGAATACAATTTGATGAAAGAGATGTAGAGATAGAGATAGTTGAGGATAGTTTTAAATTTTAAGTTATCTTGTACTTGATGTAGATATCTCTCTTGATAAGACTAGATTAGTTTGTCATTATCAATAACTAATTAGCCGTACATGTATATGGGACTTTGTATATTCTTGACAATTAATTGATACAGAGAGATTTCCCTGGAGGGTTCAGAAGTTTAATATAGTATCCAAGCAAGGTTGCATGCCTCCCCTCAATCAGATCTTCAATCAGAGGACAAGGTGAAGTCGACTCCTTTTGGATCGGCCAAGGTACAACCATCCTCGAGCTGCTTGCCGATAAATATCAAGTGCTGCTGGTCAGGTGGTATTCCCTCCTTATCTTGGATCTTAGCTGAGGGTCTTTACAAAGGTCTGCATCTTGATGTAGAGAGAGAAACCAAATACAGGTTAGTCTATATTCCCTCAAACCTAGAAATTTCTTCTTCAACCTTAGATTCGTTCCTCGCCTAATTCAGAGCCATACAAACTATTCTCCAAGAACCCATTCTGAGAAGGTATAACCTCTATTTCATTTTTACTTAATGAGTCAAGTCCTCACAAAACCGCCAAAATCCCGGTTTCTCAAAACCACAAACCGCTCACTGTTTCTCTCATCCCATAATAAAAAGTTAAAAACCTCTCTTTAAACTCATAACTGGTTCTCTCAGCCCACCATATGTCCTCTCTCTCTCTAAACCATCTACTGATTCTATGAGCCCACCATTAAATATTTCTCTCTCTTATCTTTCTCTCTCTCTCCTATTTATACCACCCATTCTTCTCACCCCATAACAAAGAAAATCTCTCTCTCTCTCTCTAACCTCGTGGCCGCAAGTTGTGGGTCATGCCCCTTACCACATGTTAACCACGTGCTTGTTGTTCACATATCGCGGGCGCCTCACACGCATTGATTTTTTGATTTGTTTGTGGTTCTTTAATTGGGTCAAGTATTGGGTTTAGCTGATTGGTGTAGTTGGTGTATCTTAGTTGGTACTTATCAAGTCCATATTTTGATATTGGACTAGTTGTTTTTGAAATCCACGATTTGAACATGGCTTCTGAAAAAGTATCTACGGCTATCTCTTTT